CTTCAAGCACAAACTCGTATTTGTAAATAAATCTAGTTAGAACGGCCTCGGCCAAAGTCTTACATAGCCTCGAGCTCACTAGACTCTAATGGAACAATAATATCGCGGGCTGGCCACGAAACAAATGAATGAACTCGCGCTAGCATTAAGTTTCTCACATCTCTATGCGAGGCCCCCATCTCTCTCGAGGCCACTATCTATCTGCCTTTCCATACTTCAGGAGCTATAATTCATAACCGAATGTATTCATACCAGGACTATCTCCACTACGTTTGAATTAGATGAGCGGGTCCCGGCACACCAAAGCAAAGTTGAGTCTTGATAAAGTTGGTAAAGTAATCCTGTCAGTGCGTGTTGTTTGCACAATCTGGGCTGAGGGGTAGTCTCTGTAGTGCGCGCACGCTCGAGGATGCAGCAGTCGGACCAGCCCGGCAAATGTCACTATGCGCCGCCATATCACAACGCAACAATCGAATTGCCACGCACATGACCTCCAAAGGTAGATCCAGATCGCAAACTTTAGAAATATTTACTGCAAAGCGCTCAAGATATCTAAAACAGTTGTCAAGGAGACTGGCATGGATTCTTGTCACGTCAATCCACACCTATGCACAGTTAGTTCGGCAGTTTTTTTTGGCGTAATACAAAAGGGGGACGTTTCTGGTTATTTGCAATAACGGACTGGGAGCATTGAGCACGGATCATTCGCCTCATTGAGGGAATATCAATTCCTCGCTATTGTTAAACGTGCGTTTTGGTTGTAAAGTTGTTCAACATCTAGACGTGTTCCGACGTCAGAGATCTTGGTGCAATTACAGTCTGAGAGCCTTTTCTAAACCCAAGAGAACCCCCAAACTGCCGGTAGGCCAGAGCAATTCTTCAATCACAATGATAGTGTCCCATGCTATAGAGATCACAACGGCCTTTGTAAGCTTGCTTGTAAGTGTTGTATCTCGAGTTCTTAGAACAGGACGAAGATCGCCAAAAGAAAATACCACCCCGTGGATTGTTTCCACATAGTTTAGGCTCCTGTCGCGTACTACGTGGCCTTATAGGTCGACCAACCCGCACTATTATTGGAAATGAGCATCTGGTGCTAAAACACAACGCGAACGATCAGTATGGCTCACAGTATCTATGAAGTATACGTCGCTAACCATTAAGTTCGCGAAATGGGCGAGGGAATACCAGCGTTTGTATACACTAAAACGCTTCGCTAACCACAAATGTTATCATTTCCGATCAGGTTATGATCAAAGAACTATAAACAAGCAAAGCACTCTTTACCGCAATCGGCCAACATCGTATGTCTAAAATTTAATCACTCAGGGAGATCATCTGCTTTTAATAAAGTATGGTTACAAGTGACGCCACATAAGGAAGATGATCCAGCAGTACTTTATAAATTCGATGTCAGAAGGTACATTCAAAGCTACAAATTGTCGAAGCCATACAAATGATGGACGACTTTCTCGTCGACCCTCAGCAGCGCATACAGCATCCAAAGCGTGCCAGCCACAGCATCACAAACTCTTTAAGTGATACTATTTGAAATGCATCAAAACGCACACTAAACACAGCTCAATGTTTGTTATAAGAGAGAAAACGTATCAAAGCAATTATATGATCCGACTGTTTGGCATCATGGCCTAAAGAAGCGAGATCATGGAATTCGGCGCAACTTCGCCTTTGAATTCATTCCTCATATCGAAGCTTGTGTCAGAAATGTTTTTGGCAAGTGAAATTCACGTGCTATGCGCGTAGGAAGGTTGATCAGTAGTCTGTATACTGAAGTGATGAACGGTGTTGTACAGCGTCTCTCGTGAGGACTCAACCAAGGATCATTTATGGACAGGCTGCTGGATGAACAAATAAACAAAAACTTACCCAAAAGCTAACATTAATTTCTCGGGGGTGTCTTATTGGAAGGTGGCTCTGGTACCTCGTCATCCCTCATCCTTGCTATGATTCGAGCATGTTCGAATTTCCGCAAGTTCAGAAAAGGTAATGAGAACCATGTGATTAAAGATCCTTGATCCAACCTCCCGCATATGTTCATAATCTCAAAAGTGCGCAAGCTGAATTTGACGCTATTATGGGAGGGGGTCGGTCACCGACTTGGTCTGACTTTCATCAGCTGCCTTACATCAACATCATGATCAAAGAGAGTCATCGCTGGCGTCCGGTCAGCCCTCTCGGTATTTTACATACAGTGGAAGAAGTTTATTGCTCTCTATCCAATGCTGAAATGGAACTTTTGCTGAGTTCGTTACATAGACGACTATATAGGTGGTCATCTCATTTCTAAAGGGTCCATAGTAGTTCTCAATGTGTGAGGTATGCATCACGATCCAAAATGACGACATAGGCCAGAGGATTCCATACCTGAGAGTTTCAATGACTACCGGAAGTTTTCGTTTCCCTACACTAATGAAGGGCTTCATGGTGTGGTGTTCATTCTGGTTATGATTCCGGCCGCCGAGTATGCCCAGGAATCCATCTCGCGGGGTGCAACCTATTCATTGGAATAGCTCAGCTACTTTGGGCCTTTTTTTCATCGAAACAGTACAGGAGATTGTTCTGTCAAATCAAATATCGAATTCTTACAATGCGTGAAAGACTACAATTGCCAGTCAACTATTCGATCACACCAGAGAACATAAACCATTCGAAGAGAATCGAATGAGCTCAAGGGTGTTTTCAAGAATTACGTTTGAGCAGCAGAAAGATGCATGCAGATATCTCTAACTTCTTAGAAATATTCGTCTACCTTGAATTCGTCATCCGAAATAGCCAAAAAGAAGGGATCATTTTGGAATACCTGGAACGGCTTTTTGATAAATTCAACCCTATAAGCTTTCGGAAGAGTTGCACGGCAGCCTCTGCGCTAACCAATCTTACGAAAGAACCGCCATGAGAGGCGTACTCATCAATGATTTTGTTCATAGGCTGGATTGTTAATGTTGGTACGTATAGATAATCGCTTCCCAACACTATGTGCCAAGGCTTTGCAAACTGTTTTAGAAGATCTAGAGCCAGATGATCCGCTGAAAGTGCAGTGTCGAAGCAGGATCTTTTTACATCCTCAAGAAAATATCCCTCTGACTTCTTGATGCCAGATCTAGTGCTGCTAGGAGAACTTGCCAGAGTGCCAGGTAGGGTGACCCACCGCCTGCATGAGAAAGAATGATTTTGATATTTGGGTTTTTACGCATAGTGTGTGATGTGGTAAGACCAACAGCTGCCCGAGTTGTCTCATATGCATAGTCGATCATCGGCTGAGGCAGCACAAGGTTTATTGGGTTTGTATCAACTGGGTGAGTATGATGCACCGGGACCACGGCGCCGCAAGTTTCGGCAAAACCGGGATGGCCAAGATAATCATTTTCGCTCTCATAACGTGTAAACCAGATTACTCCATCGATTTTGAGTCGTCCAGAGCGTAGATGATCTCTTCATGGGTGGCAGAGTGGTCTAGCAGGAGGGTATACTAGTCAACGCTCCGTAGTAGTCGCTATAAGTTGAGGACATCTTAGTGGCGTATTCGCTGACCTGACGGCAAAAGCCAGGTTGTTAATCCAGAGAAATGATACTAGCGCCTGAAGCTGTAATAGAAAGGAAAGACAAGATAATTCTGTCCTTGCTGCTACACTTTTGTTCATCTTAGGTGGTCCAATTAGGTGTCTTCCATCCTGACGGGTCTCCACCGGCCTGCTCCAATGCTCAATGCACAGAATTATTACTGATGGAATTTCCAAAATTACGTAGTCCTAAGCGGTGAATTCTGGACATGATGGATTCTAAGACTACTATATAAATACTCCTCAAGTCCTCGAATATTCTTCAAGAAGAGCATGATGTGGCCATGATGGAGTCGTACTGCCTATTGATCAGCGTCTGGGATTTTCTTCGATAGACGAAAAGGCGTCGGTGAACTCCTTTTGGAACCGAACCCTACAACGGCATTTTATACGATAGTTGCCCTAGGCCAGATGCGTGAAAACTAAAGTAGTTATGTTTGTTTGTAGTCTTAGGGAGTATCTCGCACAGGTTACCATATTTCACGTAAACATGGTCGTCATCTTAGCTATCTTCTTTATGTTCTCTCTTTGTGTTGTACTATGTCTTCACTTATGACGCCGTGAAGGATACCTGCCACCTGGTATTGGCAAAACACATTAGGTTTTCAAGTTATAGTCTAAACATTTTTAGGCCTAGGAAGCGACTATCTCACTTAGCACCTTGCGCCAGATCCCAAAGGTATACACACATATCAAGTAAGCCTAACTTCTACACACCGTCTCACTCAAAGATACTCACCAGAAGTATTGCAAATTCACTCAATGAGTCCGCAAAAACAGTTGTATTGATACTCTGAGGTTTGGCTGCAAGACTATAGCTGAAATTACTATCCGTAAGCTCGTGAGAACCACATTCGATACAAAAAGCCATAATTACAATCATCGGCACCCGTCGTATAAGTTGCACCACCTTATCGCTAAGGAAATCTCCTTCCCGTCATTTTTGATGACAATGAATGGCGCTAATCCCGACGTCTCATGCATCAACGCATTATAGAGTCAATAGTAAAGCAGCGGCATTTTTCCATTGTCAGTGCTAAAGCAATACAACTAGTACAAGACCACACGCAATTTCTAGAGAATCATATGCTGCATTCAAAGCATTTGAGTAACAATATTAGTAAAAGAATCAGTAAGGCAGACATTGTCGCCACGTCAGTACTTGATGCTTAAATGACTATAGTATGCGGCTTCCGTTCTCCTCATGCAAGGTAACACTACATGATAAAGCTCTATAATCTGTCGGGAGAATGGCCCAAGCTAACGGAGACGGGGAACCAACCGCCAGTGGACGCATTCCCATGGCTGAAGCATGTTTTCGAGACATTTTGGGGGGGATACAAGTCACGGGCGCTTAAATTTGGCAAGCAAATGAAGGTGTTGTACGAGTATCTCTTACGAGATGTAGTAAAGAGGATACAAGCCCGCAACATTTGGTGCTTTAAAGACACTGTTCTTGATCGAAACGATAAAGAGCAACTTCCTCGGGAACAACTGAGGTTTATTGGCGGTGTGCTTTTGAAGGGAGGCTCTGGGATGTCCTCTTCGCTTATTCTTGCCATTATTCAAGCTTTACATCTGCAACCTAAGCATTCAGGATGGAACCCATGGAAAAATCTGTAAACTTGTTGGTGAGAACCGTTCCCCTCAATGGCCTGATATGGAAAGACTACCCTACATCAACATGATTGTCAAGGAACGCCGTCATTGTCAGCGAACATTGCCATTGTTCTTTTTTTCGCATGCGATGAGCGAAGGTAATAGCTCTAGTCGATATTTTCAATATCTTAAATAATTGATGGAATACAGGATAAATGGATCAACGGGAAACTTTTTCGTCAAGAGACTAGAGTCATCCCGAATGTCTGGGGCATGCACACGGATCGAGAAACTTGGAAAGACCCAGAGGTGTTTAATCCAGATCGACACTTGGGCCATGTCAAGCTTGCGACGAGACATGTTGCTAAAGGCGATTAGAAAGAACGAGATTACTATATGTACTTATTTGGCCGCCGCATGCGCCCTGGAATGCACTTGGAGGAAAGAAATATGCTTGTTGCTATCGCTAAACTTAATTGGACGCTCAAGTTCGAGCATGCCACCAGGCTTTGTAGAAACAAAATACCAGTGGATCTAGACCCAGTCACACGCCATTGGAGTGGCTTCTTGTATTATGGTAAGGAGTATGGGTGTAAAACTGTGCTGCATTTGGAAAAGATCAAGGAAACAGTTTTGCGTGGCTATCGAGGTTACACTGTTAGTATTCAATCAATTCTTAGAGGCCTAGGAATTGTTAAGTCCGAAAGAGTAGGACAATAACATCGATTGATTTCATTGTTATCCGTTAGCCTCCACTCTGAAACTAGGTTATGATTTCTTCCTGTGAACCTAAATAGGCCATCACTCATGACAAATGGACCGAGAAATGTTGACGATATTATACCACTAGTCAGTTGCATAACGAGATTTATTATTATTAGATAAGCTGACATGCATACATAGAAGATTTAGATAGAGGACTACTTTCTGTTTCCTACAATAGGAATGAAGAATAGCCTTCTCTAAAGCTTTTAAACCATGGTGCTATTAGAACCTGCCTGCCTCTAGGGCCTACTACCAGCCCTAATTAGCAAAAGAGTACGTAGATATGTAGATTGGCTAGGAAGACCTACCAGTGACATATCTTATAGTTATTCGTACTATCATGCTAGCCCAAATGTTGCATTCTCTATACCGTGTTCCAATACCCTATTAGCTTTACAACTACTAAATACATCTAACATATGAATCTCGGGCTTGACAGGCCGGGTATTCCTGGCCAACTGGGACTACTTGGTCGCTTGGATACCAGATGTTGAAGAATGGATCAATTCCGCATTGCAATGGGTATTTGTATACTGAATTGCACTGTACAATGATTAGAAGAAGGTAGAGAGTGTGACAAGAAGGCGTACGCAGATAGCCATTTTTGGAGGACCGTTTTTTGGCGTGCAATAGTCTACAAATCCTGGGACACTATAGTGACAACAGGTAGAGGATACAAAGGGCAGTGTAACAACTGCTGCGAGTGCTGCAAGGAACAAAGAAGGCATTTTTTGCTACTTAGTAGAGACGAGTCAATGGTGAAGTTTACAAAAAAAAAACTAGGTATTCAACAGCTATAAGAATGCTACTCATCTCTATGCCAGGGGGCTTATGTCTAGTTCTTCGGGCCTGTTGATACGCTATAAACTGATTACTCCGATGTGTCGTTATACGATATGTAATATTATAGATGGAACTAGATGTACGTGAGCTGTAGTGATTAGAAGCCTACTCAATCTGCATTATCAACACCAATGGAATGCGGGGCGGTATCCAGATCAGTCGAGTTATGGAGAGCAACAAAGCAAGGCCTTGGGCTGTTGTTGAAGGTATTAAATAGAAGCCTAAATCACTAGATTTAAGGAGCTAGTGGCCTAAATAACTATGTATAAGCAGCTAGTTCTTAATACGGCTAGCTCTTGTTATGGTTTTACCTCGGCAATCCGCTGTCAACCCCCAGGATGAAGGTACGCGTTCCCCTGAGCGTGGACCATTGCAATCGGGCCGCAGACGTTGAAGCTCGGTGCTTATGCTATTATTTGGCCGTGTGTTTGCAGAAGCTTTTCTCCCCCAATAGCAAACCGTATGTGCAGTCTATGCCAGACAATTTTAAACTTCACATAGTTATTGTTTGTTGCATGAAAATTAGCCTAAAGATTAGGCGGGGACTTACCGTGCACTGGAATAATTAGGCTGAGTGAGGCCATGAGTGTGTTTAAAGCTGGTGCATCTGCACGTCGTAGGCGACCTATTCTCCCTCCCGCAACACGACCTTTGTTTGCACAGTCAGCCCGCGACATAATCCGACCGCGGCCAACATGTCTCTCCAAGCCTACGATCCTCCGGTCATCAACGCGTTCCACCAGTGCGACCCCGCGGCGCACGTGTGGAAGCATGACCCCAATATCGTCTACGTGTACGGATCGCATGACTGGAACTCGACCAGGCAGCCTCCAGTGGTCAGTGTTGGAAGCGTGGGCTTGGGCGGATAAGTAGAGGCTAACAGCAATGTAGCAATACGACATGAAAGACTACTATGTGCTCACGCAGACCGACTACACCAAGCCTGCCGTGGTGGGACCCAAGGTAAGACGCGGCTCCTGGGCAGATGTGGCCGGGCGGCTTGTTGCTAACGACGAGCAGCTTTTGGACCTGACGGACATTCCATGGGCGAGCCAGCAGCTGTGGGCTCCGGATGCGGCGTATTCGGAGGCGACCAACATGTACTACCTGTTCTTCCCGGCCAAGGACAAGGAGGGCGTCTTCAGGATCGGCGTGGCGACATCCGACAAGCCCGACGGCAAATTCAAGGCCGAGCCAAACCCCATTGCGGGCACGTACAGCATTGACCCCACGATCCTGGAAGACAACGGCAACTACTACATGGTTTTTGGAGGGCTGTGGGGGGGTCAGCTGCAGGCGTGGAACAACAATGTTTTGGTACGTACTGATGCATAGCAAGCGGGCGTGCCGAAGCTGACGCGATGCAAGAACGAATCTCTGTTTGGCAACAATGCGCCCACGTCGGGCCCGGCGCTTGGGCCCCGCTTCGCTAAGCTGTCGGCCAATCTCACTGCGCTCGCCGCCCCGCCCAAGGAGCTCGTCATCTACGACCAAGACGGCAAAGTCATGCAGGCAGACAGCCCGCGCCGCTACTTCGAGGCCCCCTCGCTCAACAAGGTCGGCGGCCTCTACGTGCTCCAGTACTCGACAGGCACTTCGCACACGATTGAAATCGCTGTTGGACACAAGCCCGACGGTCCGTTTTACTGGAAGAACACGTTGCTGCAGCCCGTCAAGGGATGGACGACGCACGAATCCATTGTCAACTTCAAGGGCGATTGGCTCCTCTACTATGCTGACTCGTCGCTCTCCGGAAGAGACGATCTGCGCAACACAAAGGTCAGGAAGCTGCTGTTCCAGAACGGCACCTTTGAGCTGGCTCAGCCGCAGCCCGTTGTAACGCAGTAGGCTACGCTTGCAGGACAACCCTTGCTTTCGTCGTAGACTTGCTACAACTGTCTACACACTTACACTTCGCTTCCTATTCCACCGCCGTTTACTATGCATCTTGTAAATACTACATACATACTTGTCATGAAACCATGGGCCCCATTGAGGGCCCTCGTATGCCCAGTAACAACTTCTCCCGTCAGTCATTTCACAGGCGTCAAGTGTGTGATTACTCTTCACGCGTAGATCCCCAGTAGCCTTCAGGTCCAACTTGGGAAATAATTCGGCTTGCGTCCTGCTCGTGCCAAGTATCCGCTAACTCGATACCTGAAATAATGTGGAAAAGGCATGTCAGGACACATGGAAGTGGAGATTTACGCATACTGTGAATAATTGCATCGTGGGCAGAGCGAGGTATAGTGTGGCCCTCATGGTGATACTTGGGTGCGCTTGCCCCTACAAGGCACAGCCTGGAGGCCATAGCTACTCAGCCGATCTTCGGGCAAAGAGGAACATACCCACTGATAGCCTCTCACTCGCATATCATCTATACTCTGTTGGCTTATGTTAATATTGTCCATTCATGGTCCCGATAAGTTTGACGCAACAATGGGAAGAATGGAGCAGGATTAGCATCAAGCTGCTTAATGTAGCTGGAATGATATGCGACAATGGATATTGATAGTGTGCTGAATGTGGCATGCTATATCTAATCCGCCACAAACATCCGAGGACAATATGCAGCGAGGATATTAGCCTAGGAAGAATTATACTTCACGCGTGGCATTGGAGAGCAAGTATGATAAAAGGATGAATTGTATACAGGGTAGAATAGAATATAGCTTTGAGTATGTACAGGGAAACAAGGCAATGTACAGCCATGTTCCTAGGAAAGCTCTTGACAAAGATAGTACAACATCTCTAGAGCTAAAGAGAGATGATTGGAAGGCTTTAGCTTACTCGAACACGGTGCGTAGATTTGCTACAAAGACGAGCAAATTCTCTACTGGCACTGGGAGTAGTAGGCGTTGACGACCTTGCAGGTTCCCGAGGTGCAGCACTTGGCACCAGAGAAACCCTGTCCGCCACACTGAGCCCATGGAGCAGCACAGCCAGCCTGACCGGCACCTGTGCCAGCACCAGCAGCAGGGGTAGGGACGACGACAGTAGACAAGGTAGTAGGGGCGGGGGCAGCGGCCTCTTCCTTGGCAGGTTGAGCGCTGGTGCTACCGCCACCAGCACCGCCCTTCCAGACAGCGGGACCGGGCATAGGGAAGGCCTTGCGGCCGCTGTAGATGCTAAAGTTGGCATAGGGGTCGGTGGCCTTGTAACCTCCGGGCAGCTTTGGAGTGTTAGCGAAAGAGATTTTGGGTGGAGAGAAAGCTTACCTTGAAGGTGGGACCGGGGGTACCGTTACCACCGTTGGTGACCTTGACTTGCAGGCAGCCGACTTAGTGCTCGGGCTGGTTGACGTGGGAGCGGTGAACACCAATGTGCTCAAAACGCACCAGGTACTCTCCCTCGGGAGTGTCCGTGGGGATACGGCCGGCAATGTAGTCCCTGTTGTAGTCGCACCAGGCGGTCGAGGTGAAGTCACCACCATCGCAGACACCCTCCTCGTAGATCTTGAACCAGTCACCGCCAATTCCACTGTAGGACTGGACGCTGCCGGGGGCCTTGGACATGTAGATGAAGCCGGGGCCAGGGTGCTAGAATTTGGCACCGACGGCCAACTTGGCGCGGACCTCGTCACCAGCCTTGACGGTCAAGACCTGCGTCTTGCTGGCCGAGGAGAAGGCGCCCTGGTTGCAAACGATATCGGGGCCATCGGCCGTGGATCCGTCACGGATGTCGGCAGCCGGGTTGGAGGAGAACTTGATGGGGTTGTACTTGGTGGGGCGGGTCGACTGGCGGACGTATTTGAAGGCGGGCTGCTGGGTGCCGCCAACGATGTTGGTATCGAAAAAGTAGTGGGCAGTGGCCACTTGGGCGACGGCGGAGACGAGGAGAGCAGAGAACTTCATTGTGACCGGGCAGCAACGAGTAACAAGTATGGGGATGGAACAAAAAATAGACAGTGAATCGAAGTGGGCAAACAAGGGAGGAATGAATGTAAAGATTGCTGGTGGTGCGATGGGGAGCCATGGAGGACTGGCCGGGCATGTTATATACGTGCGCTGGCGGCGAAGGCGCACTCGACCCGGGCGGCATGTTTGCGAGGGAGATTGTTTTTCCCAGGTGGACAGGTGAAGGAATTGTGGTTCTCTCGCGCGACAGTGCAGCTGTTCCGCCGCACCAGCACGCTTGGCGGATGTCCTCTTCATTATCACGCCGGGCGCCTAGGCTGCGATGAGGGTAGCAGCGGCTGTGGAGCGCAACGGGCCAATAGCAGGCGCGCCGCCCGCGGTTCCCACTCGGCCTGGGCAATAAACACCAAGTTTCAGCCTTGCTGTTCCAAGCCCTTGGTTGCGCGCCACCGCCCAATGCGGCCTAGCGCCCTGCCCCGCCAGGATGCACGAATCTCCGGCCATTCCTGCAGCGCTCTCTCTCTCTCTCTCTCTCTCTGCCCTCTCCACATGCGCCGCTTGCTTGGCATCCACACAAGCACTCGTCCGCCGTTTGCTTTGCGCATGCTGCTGTTTCTGCGACGCCTAGAAGCCGCCGGCTGGCTGCATGGCCCACAGCGGTACCAGGGATGCTGCTCCACGGAACCGACATGGCTTGACAGCTGTGACAGGAGCGGCTTTCTCGCGGCACACAACATGGATACTACTGCTCCTACTACTCCTACTACTCCCACTACTCCCACTGCTCCCACTGCTCCTGCTCCTGCTCCTACATACACCGCTCTCGATTACGCCATGCCGTCCGACGCCTCCGCTCCCCATGGGCTCCCGCTGTCAGCACACTAATCCCTCAACACCAACCCGCAGTGGACAAAGTCGAGTCGAGTCGCGCCCCGGCCTGCCTCCATGTCATGGTTCAAGAGGCCAATGGGTCCACAGTTTCATCTCTCCTTGCTGCTAACGCTGCCTGCGCCCTACCCTTTGCCAGCCGAGCACGACAAGACACGGCCATGTCGACTTTTGGAAAAGCGTGCCCTTGGCAGCAGACCCGCACGTTGCGCATAGACATCTCGGTGTATCCACGATAAGACAAACATGGCCACCCTCCAAACAACGCCAATACCCAATGGGCGAGAATACGGTCCCTCCTCGTCTAACTTCCTTGCTGCATACTTCTCCGTCGGCGGAACCACAACGTCTAGCGCACTCTTCAACTCGTACGCCGAAATCTAGATTGAACTCGCCTTCAGCGTGACCTCCAAGTCTGCCACCTTCATCAATGATACGCCGATTGTAGATTGTACTCGCCTCTTGGCGCCTCTTTTGGCTGAGACGCCAAATATAAATTCATGTCGCCTCTTGGCGCATGACGCAGTAGATTGCCATTCTCCTCCCCAACATGGCAATCAAACTAGGCCCCATCAATATGCCAATCTATTCCAGCTTTGTGAAAGCCTATGCCGGCTAGGAACAAACATGTCATGATACATGCTGGTCTACACCTAGTTGGATACTCAGCGCATGGGTGCTGACTCACTTTCCCGCCTACGACAGAGTGACATGTATTTCCACCTATCCCCAGTCTAATCTAGCGCTTAGGGGCAGCATCTGGAAAAAGTTTCAAGCTTCTCCTGCAAAAGACGGCTGTATTCACAGGTTGAAGAAAAAAAAATAAGAGCCAGTCCTGCAAAACGGAATACACATACACCAAGCTAATGACCAGGTTTCTGTAATTGAAATGTCCTCATCTTCACATCAACTCAGCTTTTTGGGTCAAGTCAAATCCTAGATACAACTAAATCTACATCGTGGCAGCCATGAGGCATCAGCAAGATTTTGTCTCTACCAGCAACCCAAATCGCTGCAACAACAACACTAGACACACTGAGCAAAGACGCAATGGCACTTGTTGCAGACTGACTTCCAAAGCACCCCTCTCCTTCAATTTCTCAGGCGGAAATGTTTCCTTTTTCTTTGAGGGTGAAGTTGGCGTTTTTGAGGTTTGGGCCGCAATACCGAAAGGGGCACTCCTTCCACCGCATAATGACAAACTCATTCCTGCCACCTCAACCAACCAACGTTCCTCTTGGTAGAAGTAACCATATTTCAGCCTTTCAATCCCATGACAAGAGAATGCAGCTGAGAATAATGTACGTGGAAACTAAACAGTATCTGCTGGAGTGTCGAGCCAACACGTCACTGACCTGGTTCTACCAGAACCCCTTTACACATGACCCATGTGTGTGGGCCACCACTAACTTCATGGCAAACTACAACCTTCTTTTTTCTGGGCAAGTTCCTTGTTGGGACTCAGGGAAAAAGGGGGATTCACCCTACCCGGTTGGCCCTGATACTCTCGAGACTAGGGTCTATGATCCTTTTGGACAAAGCAAATCGAAATCCTCTCCAAACACCTGGAAGACAATCCATTTGCCAATAAAAATGTAATTTTTTGGGATATGAGGCCAGAGGTCTTGTGACGAACGACGTTGTTATGTACTATATTCTTCAGACAAGGACGGGAAGAAACAGGTCGGGTGACGGATCCAAGCTCCTTGGAAATCTGCAATCCACAATTATGCTATTTCCGCCAATGAGCTTACCCTTGTACTACGACCCTGTCATTGCCTGGCCGATGTTGAACTTATGAAACACAGGGGGTCAGCATTGAGCATCAGACTTTCGTTTGATTGGAAGGAATGGGAGGGCTGGGTATACCCATGAAAAAAAAATCCGTCTTTATCCACACTGCGGGAGCGCGAGAAATTGAAAGTAAACCCACTTCTATATCAAGGTGTCTCGCTTCCACAAAATTCCATTCTCACTCTTCTCTTATGACCATGCGATAACACTAGCGCCAGGCGCAAAGGCCGACTTCTTTTTCTGGAAGCCTACCATCATCTTAGATATACCATGCCAAATACCCAGGCAAGGATCACACGCTTCTCCTACCCAAGCGACGGGTCACTGATACAAGAGTTCACCTCTCTCCTGCATCCACATAGTGCGCCAGATGGGGATGACCGCAGCATCGCAAAGGTAGAGAGAGAGAGACTAAAAACCATGTTGTTTTGGTCTGCACTCGGAAATTTGAAACGCCGGTCGCGACTAGACAGCTATGTACCAACGCATATCCAAGTACAGATGTATGAAGATTGGAGTAGATGCATCGTGCTTGAAAGAGAAGGAAAGCTTGGCCCACGAGGCCAGGCCAGTGCTAATACGTGTTGAAGGTGCTTTAGACTTGTTTAACGAGTCGCAATATGCACCAAGTAGCGCAACAAAACTTTTCGCAAATACACATTCTCTTTCCTTGATTTTAATTCCATCTGCGCATTGGTTGAATCACACGCAGAGCAACTCCAGCTTACATATTCGATTGAATATTGACTAGGAAAATTAAGCATTATGAACAATTAGCTTCGTATTCTATCAAGGTCATAGTCTGGTTTAATTAATGTATACCATTAATACTTCGGCCATTGCCGACTCGAGATCTATGTGATAATAAGAAAAGTCCGAGGGTCTACAACGGCCGATGGCATGATTTGAGCCTCATTTATGTTGGGATTATCATCTTCATAACCCATCTCCTATACAACAGCGAAAACCTCGGTAGGTGTGATATCATACGACTGTACAGGCGCAACAAAGGCATTCATGATAGACTTGTGTGAACCTGTAAAGTTGTATGCAGGCCCAGAATATGTCAGCAAGTCATTCACGAGCACAACAGGGCACGACAAATATGCGACTTACGTTCCATCAGGCTGGAAGCTGACAAGAATCTGGCCGGGACCGCCGCTGTAGTCTGACTCTCTCTCGCTAAACTTGGCCGCCACGCTGTTGTTCGCACCCTCGAGAGTCTCGCACATTGCGAACCAGTTGCCCTTCCTGTAATAGCCATTCTCGTTGCCGTTGCAATGTGCCTTGACACCAGCAATCTTGCCTTCCACGCTTGGCACCGTTACATCAAAGTGGTAGTAGCATCCGCCGCGAACACAACCCATCTCCGACTTGGATACATGCCAGTTCCAGTTGCTAGGAATGGGCATCGCGGCATCTTGGACGACGGGCGATGCGAGCGCACCGGCGGCGAAGGTGAGGAGAGTCGTGAATGAAACCATGGCTGTGAGGTGACTGAAGGCGCGAGTATGATGATTTAGAGTAGCGCAAGTTGCACAGGAGAATTAATACGGTTGGACGCTGGTCGATTTGAAACCTGGATGCAGCAAGCGCTGGTCCTAAGTGATGCTCTGTTATATATGTATGTACGCCAATCCCCGAAATGTTTTGGTGGACCGTCTTACATCCGTGGCGAACCTTCTCCATGGCTGTAGAGTTCCGAGTGCACCGATATATCGGGTCAAGGATAAGCTATGTGACACATCTAAGCCTAACATAGAAACAGAATGAGGCTGTGACCGTTGATCTTGCTTGCACTTGGACTTGGGTGCGGTACTTTACGTAACACTGCAAAACGTCATATTCGTCAGTTTTCGCTGGCACTGGTCCCAATAGGAGGCAGGCGCTCGGCTAATCGGACCAACCCTCGGTATTAACCACTTGGTGTCATCATATCTAACTCTATTTTTAGAATCATGAGTACGTATATATAACATCACATGACGAAAGTTTTTTTTTATGTGAACTTGTGGTCATGCAAACCTGATAGGCTTTCTAATGTATCGAGAAACCGTTTACCTCCCCCATTTACAGATACTTTCACTCTATACATTTACATAGCTAAAGAGTACGGAGGTGCCTTTCAAAAGTTCTATCTGACGCTCATCTCAGCCCTTCAGCGCAATTCTTTTTAGCGCAACTCCTACCTTTAAGCTAAGCTATTAATTAGTTATAGTTATCTATCTACTTAGTACTATAGCTCCTAATACTAATTCTTACACCTATGTTTTAATTGTAACGTTAAAGTCACCTCCTATTAGTAAGTTAACGTTATAGATCTTAGAGCTAACTAGTGTTAATCCTCGTACAGTCAATTATATCTATAGTAGAGCTATCGCTGCTAGCTTTAAGCCAAACGTTCTCCCTCTTAAGATCCTTCCACAGCACGTTTAAGATGCCCCTCGCTCTAGCAGGCCTGCTAAGCAGACAGAGGAGGTGAAGGAGTAGATATTTCAACAAGTACGACGCGATAGATATGGACGAGAGAAGAGCTGCGCTGACCTTGCTGGTGCGCTCAGTCTCTAAGGAGTCGAAATCTCTGCCTCTACCGTCTAGAGGGTATTAAGAGAAGCAGGATACAAGAAGACTAAGCCAACAAGGAAGCCTAGGTTAACATAGAAGATAAGGAGTGCTCGTCTTAGATAGGCGATCGACCACAAGGACTAGACGTTAGAGGACTGGAAGAATGTCATCTAGACAGACGAGACGTCTGTGGTGATGAACCACCGACGTAGGGGCTATAGGATCTGGAGAAAAGCAGACGAGAGAGTAGTTAAGAGCTGTATCCGTGAGAGGTGGAAGGGATACTTTAAGTTCATGTTCTAGGGCTGCTTCTCGTATGACAAGAAAGGTCTATGCCATATCTACTAGCTAGAGACGAAGGCAGAGAAAGAGGATGCTGCTTAGAAGATTAAGCAGCTAAACGCTGAGCTTGAACCTCTACAGAGAGAGGAGTGGGAGCTGTTAGAGTCTATGAGGAGGACAGGGCTGCGCAACAAGCCTGGCAGAAAACCTTAATGGAGATGGACAGAGAATACAGGCAAGCTGGTGCGTAAGCCTGGAGGTGGTATAGACTAGTGGAGATATCAGAACTATATTCTAATACTAAAGCTGATTCCTTTCGCTAAAGAGTGCCTCTAAGATAGACCTTAGACTATCGTGATGGAAGATAAGGCACCTGCCCACGCCCACCACTATCAGAGTGTGATCTATAGTCTGCACGATGTCGAGAGACTACTCTAGTGTGGCAACTCGCTAGACTATAACTGTATTGAGCCGTGCTAGTTCTATATAAAGAGAGAGACTACAAAGAAAGGAGCTCTATAGTCAAGGGCTAAGGCAGTTAGAGTCTAGCAGAATTGCTAGAGAGACCTTTCTCAACTTAAGATCTAAGCTTAGATTAAGTGGATTCTTATTTATATCTAAAAGATAATTAAGCTATAAGGTGGTAATAAGTATATAGAGGGAAGAGACAAGCCTTAACTAAGGCGGCCGTACTTTAGCTAAATTGTTCTTGGCAGATAGAACTTTTGAAAGGCACCTCCGTAGAGTCATGCGCATTATGTCATTGCGCCGGCTATTCATCTACCTCGTCAGCAGAGAAAACCTCACACAGGGTCGGATCTTTCCCAATCCTTTTTGATGAAACGTTATCATGTTCATTTTGGGTACTGCTTTGAGCAAGTATCTATGCTATTTTTGGAGAAAACATTGTGATTACAGAGATACAACTTGAATGTTAGGCTCGTCGCGAGTCATATGCGTCTAGTAAGTGTCTAATTCTCTTTGCGTTAACGGAGTGCATCCCTTAGTGTGTGGATATTGGCAGGGGTATCGAAGCCCTGCAATCTAACCTTTGCCGGTCCCATCCGCCTGGATAACTTGTTGTTGTGGTTCAGTTCGAATAACTAAGATTATGGGCCATGGCACTAAATGAAAGCTATGTGTATGAGTTGCTCAGTCGCAAAGAGAATCTGTCGCCCACTTGCGTCTGATTAAGAGGCCACGAAAGAGTCAAGGAGATACAGAGTGTCGACATGAATAAAAATAAATCCAATACTCTGCTGTGAAAGCCGCTGCGTCAGCACGTCAGAATCTCCCTTAAAACAAACAAATACCAGGTCGATGCAAGGACGTCAACAGATGTATGTACCTATTCTGTATCGATACTTTGTAATGAAATCACTTCGATGTGTCTCAATTCCCTGCTTTTTTTTGGATTGAATTCTGGTAGGTCATGCGATTCATAATCAGATGGTCCAAAATTGCCCCATCCTGCAGACCCTACATAGAGGGACAGGACCAAACGGATCAGTATGCACAACAGCACTGTCTCAAAAGAAAATTGGGATGCTTTACTTGGCCCTATTCTTAGCAAACACATGCCTTAATGCGACAGAAAGATGTTGGGTTCGTTTGCAGCTAGAACTTGTATACTCTCTTGCCCTATGGTTGGACCCTTTCGTGAGGCCGATGATGCAAATGCTTTACACGTCTTTTCATCTACAAAAACACTGGGATCTTTTCGAACACGTCACGAAAGCAACAAACATATTTTTTCTTAACACACTTGAAGCTTAGATTGCATGGTTGGGAAGACTTGAGTATCATGGGTGCATAGTGCGCACGCCCACTCTCACGTAAGTAATCGGGAAAACCGGAATTTGAGACCAACTGGTTCTCGCCCACTAGAGC